CTTTTTCAGAATCCAATATTTCTGATGTGTCTGACTTGCCTTGTTCTGAATTTGAGTACTTACAGCTGCCTAACATCTCTGTTGGAAATCATGCTTATGAAAAGAGGGGAGCAGAAGAGACAGCTCTGGCTGTGTGTCAGCAGTTCTACAAGCGAGGAACCATCTCTCCTGGAAATGACACTTTCGATATCGATCCGGAGATTGTGACTGGTGATGAATCTCATCTATTGTATCTGTTCTTGGGAAGGAGGGACCTTATAATTATGATGAATTCTTAACAAATGTCTAGTATTCACAGGCCATCAAATGGTCTGTATTCATTTTATTACCAACCAAACCTGGTTAGAAAAACACTGTATAACTAACCTCTACTCCTTACTTTCAACAAGACAGTCATTTATGCCTATTCCCACAAAAAAGTGATGGGCCATTGGCACCCATTATTGTCTAATGCAAGTATTTCAGGCTAATTTATCAAATCTTCCCCGTGAAACAGGGTTTAAACACTTTGTGCATGAGGGATAACTTGTCCAGTGTTCATGGAAGCAAATGTTTTTGTAAACTGCTCTCCAAAATGTCTCATCACTTAATCATGCTACCTTGGATTTTACAGCCTGGATAATGGGAAAGGCAGATCATGGTTAAAAAGCATGTGGTAGGTAACCTGTCTGAAACTACTGTGTGTAATTATCTGTTGCAGATTGCTTGTACCTCGAGCCAATGATGCCTTTAGACAACAGAACAGTGGGAAAGCACAATTTGAATTTCACTCTGGATTTCCACAGGTGAGGGGTAATAGCTGCTTCCTATAGTGATGTATTCCACCATCTTCCAGTGTGAAAACCTAATATGAAACTGTATTGCAGACTGGTGACAGTACAGCTCATGTTCAGTCTGAAGGCAATCAACCTGCAGACGGTTCGCCACCATGAACTCCCTGACTGTTATGATTTCACCCTGACAGTACGTAGAAGTCTGCCTGTGTCTTTCTGTTCAAATGAGAACTATTCTTACTGGCTTGTCAATGCAGAAGGTTGTTTATTATTATTATTACTATTTAAGGGGTTTAGGCATCATTAACCTGTTCCCAGTGGCATGTGGACTACCTTCTCAGGACTCAGTATCCCATGAGTAATGGTCACTCCTTAAACACTTGTTTGGCTTACAGCCTTGTGTGTTTTAATTTGCTTGATGTATCATGAAAGTCTCCTCCTTAGAAAGATGCTCCTATGAATAGTTGTTTTCAGATCATGGAGAAATGAGGCTGCAAAAAGTCACTTGTATTTTGATATCTAACTGATCAAACAATTTGTAGCAAATTGCAAATGTGTGGCAATTCCTTGGTCTACAATATTATGGCTCTTGTTTTAAAAGTGTTTATTTGAATAAACTGGAAGTACCTTAAGATTATATTAATTTTGTAACTTCTCCCCTAAGAGTATTATTCTGAATCATTATGCAAAATTAGCAATGCAGCAATTCTGTATGTAGCTGGTTTAACTGTAAGAAGACATGCACTTTTTAACTAATATCTTTTGTTGATACAGATAGTGTTTGATAATAAAGCACACAGTGGAAGAATTAAAATAAGTCTAGACAACGACATAGCAATCAGGGAATGTAAAGACTGGCATGTTTCTGGATCAAGTAAGTGATATAAGTGTGTTCAAATTTTCATACACTAGCACAATATTTGTTAACCTTTTTCTTCATTGAAAGATGAGGTCTTATTGATGTATATTGTCTAATGGGCATATTCTAATTCCTGTTTTCTAAAGAATTGTTGTTTTGCTCTTGAACTTTTGATTTGAAATCTTGGAAATCCAGACATACCATTACTCTGATGAGCTGTTCTCAAACCTTGTAGCACTAGTATTGTCACCTGTTTTTTCTTCTTCCTACAAATCACTATTTATTCTTATAATTTTGACTACTAATTTTATGCTCATCATGATTTTTACGCAGGGCCGTGAACCATTGTTCTGGTGCCAAGCAGCAGGTCAGGTGATAATGATGGAAAGTTGAAACTAATTCACTGTTATATCAGGACTTAGCACAAAGCAGAATAAGGAAGGCACTTGCTAACTGCCACTAGATCAAAGCAGCTAGAAACATGTAATTGCTTCTTTAATTTTTTTAGGTCATGTAGCTGAGTGTAACTGAGATGCACAATTACATATGGTTAGATATCTTAAATCAGTTACTAACAAGAGCACCCTTTGTTAGCAGCTCTTGGATCTGTTCAAAGCTCGTATGAGATCTTTTTTAATAGGAAAAGTAATCTCTTTGGAGGAAGTTTTCCAGGAATCCAATTTTTTTCCTGAAGTAAGCAAAAGGATGAATAAGATTGTTTTTTCTACTTTACTATTTGCTGCTTTGTTTTGCTGTAATTAGGAAATTCCCCCACAAAGAGCTTGTAGTAAAAAGGAGACTTCTTTGTAATGATACACAATACCATTAATGGTGGGACCTTGATGAAATGCATTACAGAAGACAAAACGGATCACATATACAAGTATATATTCCACTAACTGTCCTGATCGAGTAGCATTGCCAGCTTCTGTGTTAGGAATGCACACCAGGTGGCATGTTATCTAATGGACTGCTTGTGCAGCAAGACGATGCGGTTTCAATACAAGGCTTCTGTGATTCATATTTGATATCTGTGTAGAATGCCCAGCATCCAGCTCTGTAACCGTTTTCAAAATCATCACTTGGATGAAAAAATAGATAGGCAATAATTGCAAATGGATGCTAACAATTTGTGTTTATTTTGTATTAAATTACAAAGCCAACGTGAATGCCAACGTATACATGTTAGTCACTTTGTAAAAGCCAGGAGTACGTGGGCTCTTTCTGGGACAATGGTAGGTGTCTTTGTAAAGTCAAATAGAATTTTAGCATACTGTTTTGGAGAATTGCTGCCTGTTCTTGCAATTTTAGCATTAATTTGTTACATCTTTTTCTTCAAACATAATCCCACTTTCAGCATTAAAACTCTAATCTTTTTTACTCTGTCTCCATCTAGTTTCAGTTGTATGATAGGTATAACAAAAAGTAAGTCATCCAGTGGTAATCTTGGTACAAAACTTGACCTTCATTGATCAAGAATGTGACTTTAAACATCTTCGTTTTTGTTCTTACAGTACAGAAGAATACTCATTACATGATGATCTTTGATGCTTTTGTTATACTGACTTGTCTGGCTTCATTGATCCTTTGCACAAGATCAGTGGTTAAAGGAATTCATCTCCAAAGGGTGGGTGACTTTTTCTGCAGAAAGTCTCTCTGTCTTTTATTAGCCTGATCAACTTCTTCCTTGCCTTCTTCCCCCTAGGAATTTGTAAACTTCTTCCTACATTATTACAAGAAAGAAGTATCTTTCAATGATCAAATGGAATTTGTCAATGGATGGTACATCTTGATTATAGTTAGTGATGTCTTAACTATAGTTGGATCAACTTTAAAGATGGAGATACAAGCCAAGGTAAGATACTTAGATTTTTAGGCAGAAGCAAAACCACTTATGTTAGTATCTGCTGAGTTTAAATTCCTCGGGGGACTCTAGACTGGCTATACTCGATTCTGACTGACAGGAAATTTTAAAACTCCGTCGTCTCTTTTGGAACTATAATTCAGATGTGTTACTCCTTCCTGTGACTCCAAGAAATTAACTTTCTCTAAAAGTTCAAGACTTTTCCTCATTTCTCCATATAGGACCACTTATCCTTGCTAATTTGATTTTTTGTTTGTTTTGTCTGTTTAAGCATTTAATTTTCTATTTCGTGTTTAACAAGTATTTAATTGTCTTAGAGAATCTCTCCTTAAACATCTCTTTGCTGCTTTCCCAGCTCTGGTTTCCAACTTGTACATAAAAATCAGCCACAGCCTGGTTCTAGGCCCTGAATTTCTAATATAAATTTGTTCTACGAAAAACATCTCCATTAACATACTACATACAGCCAGAATTAGTGAACAAAAAATATGACAATGTGCTATCCTCAGGCACTCTAACATTCAGGCAGTGATGTCGTTCACTAAATCTATATCAGACTTTGAATTGTGACATTGCAACACAACAGACTTTGGACTATAGTGATGAAAGACTAATTCTGAAATCTGTCTGGTGACAGCTTGACTGTCACAGAAGACCTGCACAAATTGCCCTTTCTTAGCTTAGGAGCTATAAGCTCCATTCTGAGGAATAAAAAGGAGCTAAGAGGAAGCCAGCTGAGATTAAAAAAAAAAAAAAAAAAACTCTATCCTGTTTTGGGATAATGCAAAGATGAAAACAGTGCTGCAGTAAGATCTTGCAAGGAGCGAGTTCTCTTGCTCTTTAATGGGACTTCTGCTCTCTATGTATTGCCTCAAACTAGTTTTTTATGGGGGAGATTTCCAAGGAAAACAATTTCTTAGCAGATCTGTGTAGGAATGAGAAACATGTCAGTTATAATACTTGATTTTACATATATATACTTTTTTTTTTTTTTTTTTTTTTTTTTTTTTTTTTTTTTTTTTAATACTACATGTAGCATACTCCTAGGAACATCCACTATGCTTGTGTGGCTTGGAGTCATTCGCTACCTAGGTTTCTTTCAGAAGTACAATGTAAGGATCTCCTGGGATCTTCGTGCTGGTGGTATTTATTTTGTTTGTTGTTATCAGCCAACTGGAAAAGATGCCTGGTTGAATTTTAACTGCTCATTTTGATATCTGCAGCTTCTCATTCTAACACTGCGAGCAGCACTGCCTAATGTGATGAGGTTCTGCTGTTGTGCTGCTATGATCTATCTGGGCTACTGCTTCTGCGGATGGATTGTGCTGGGACCTTACCATGTGAAGGTAATAGGGTTTGACAACTCGAATGAAAAAAACAACTTGAATAATCAAATGTATTCCAACTATATGATACATTACTGCTGCTGCCTTCCAGTTTGAGGTGACAAGGGCCTTATATAAACATTGTGCATCTTCACCATGATGTTGGTCTGTTGGAGGAGTCAGACTTTTGTGACCGTCAGACTTTCCTCTAGTTACAAAAGCTCTGAGTCAGAAGTGGAAGATGCTGTGACTCTCAATCACATGGTGGGAGTCCTATGTGGTATTTTGAAAAACAAATTTCATTTTGCAGAACACCAGTAGTAGACTAACATTTTATCCTTGTCCATTCTAGAAATGGAATTGGCTTATTCACTCTATTGGGAGTCTACAGATGAATGAATTGAGTGTGTTTAGGGGCCTGACCACCTTTGTTCATTCCCCAGATGTTTTCCTTTTAGCACTGCACTTTGTTGTACTCTGGAGATGCAAAGGCTAAAATCCAAGGCAGCCAGGTAGCAGCTGTGTATCTTGAATTCATGTTATGCACAGTCTCTGAATTCAAATAAAGCGGCCACCAATGCTCGTGTCTTTTCTCCTCCTCTCTAGTTCCGTTCTCTGAATGTGGTTTCTGAATGCCTTTTTTCATTGATAAATGGAGATGACATGTTTGCCACCTTTGCAAAGATGCAGCAGAAAAGCTACTTGGTTTGGTTATTCAGTAGGATCTACCTCTACTCCTTCATCAGTCTGTTCATCTATATGGTGCTAAGTCTCTTCATTGCGCTCATTACAGATACATATGAAACCATCAAGGTAAGCAGGAGCTCTTACTCTTTGGATAGATAAGGGGGCAAGATTGGTGTTACTGAGATTCATCTCACTTAATATTTTGACTTGCTTTGTATGCCATTTTAAAGAATAAACATAATGACTACTTCTGAGGGTGTAGAGCAGTGACAAGCAGTGGTGTGTGTGTTTTCTTTTCTTTCTTTTTTTTTTCTTTTTTTTTTTTTTTTTTTAGCACTACCAGCAAGATGGCTTTCCAGAAACAGAACTTCAGACATTTATATCACAGTGCAAAGACTTACCGAACTCTGGCAAGTACAGGTTAGAAGAGGAGAGTTCTGTATCCCTCTTTTGTTGCTGTAATGGTAGGTACCTGAGTTAAAATTACATATTTATATATATATATATCCAAAGCAATACACCACTTACTGTCCACAATCAAATGTTTATGAAGAATCTTTAAATTTCAGGTTGTGGGAAGGGGAAACAAAGAAACAAAGTGTTTATAGTGCTCTAGAATAGAACAATAGAACACTTTATTGAAAGGTCTTCAGCCAGCAAACTTTTTGGTGGAGGTAAGGGGAACCTTTACATTAGGAATTACTTAACATGTCCAAAACATTACAGAAAGTTAGAGAATGTATACGGTAACTTGGGAACTCTTTATGTGGAACATGCAGGCATTTACACTTCCTGTAACAGTTGCAATTGTCAAGACTTACTTAAGTGTTGTCTTATCCGTTTTTAATGATACCTTATGCACTAGCAGGGCCTAAAACCTGGGGAGAAAAGAACAACCCCCCAAGGTACTAAAACAGCATGCAATTTAAGATACTAGCGCTGCATTTGGACAAGCATCACCTAAACTCCATTATGAAAAGCTTAATATACTTTAGTTATGAAGTTTTGTTTTTTCTTCAGGAATACTGATCACAGAACACATGGTTTATATTTAACCTGGCTGGCAGCAACTCTGTGTCTTGCTTGCTGAAGCGTCCTTTGGTGGGGGAGCATTAAAATACAGACAGCTTGAAAAAAAGATAAAGGAACTTGCAGCTTACTGAGTCTGTGCTTTTCTGGTGTGATGTATTGTTATAAGTCACGTGGAATATACTTAGGTGGGGAAGGAAATGGCATATTTTGGAGCAGGGATAAAACAAAGGTTGTAGTGAGACCGTCTGGAATCGTTTCAGTTGGTTGCTTCGCAAGTGTGGGTTGAAGCAGGGCAGGCCATCTTGCTGCTGAGTAAAGGGCACTGAAATGTTAATACTTCCTTTTCTGCACACACGATTCGGTGCAACCAGGCACAAAAGGCGCCAAGGCAGGACGGAGGGGATGTAATCCTTCTGCCACTGATTGGGTCAGATCAGGACTTCAGAAGAGCATTCAAAAATGAGAAGTTCTCAAGCAAATTCTTCAAGTATTGGGCAGCCAGCAGAGTCCTGGCTTAAGGGAGCTGATGGCATGTTAAGTGCCTGATTTCAGAACCTTATTTTCTAAACTGGCTGCCTACTCTTTAATCATTTTATCATGGTGGCAAATATTTTGATCCATATGCATTTCTCATAACATGCATGTTAATGTTATGAACTGTTTTTATCTGAAAATAGTGTAATTCTTTCTCTAGAAGGTAAATCAGAGGCTGACTTAGCAGTCACCTGTAAACACTGAAGATTGCTTCTTTAGCTCAGTGGTCTGTCCTGGCTTTGGAACAAATAATATGTAGGAATAATTAGGTGTCTCACGTGAGAAAAGTATGGATGTTGTATTATGGATTCTATGGCATCCGCTTCTTAAATAGTCTTAAATTCTTGTAGATACTCAAAAATATTTTATGGTGGTCTCTTGCACTTTTCATACAAGTATATGTCAGTATATTAAATAGTTCAGGAACATTTTTAAGGCTCCATGTTTAATGAAACTATTATTTTGATGTCTGTTTCTAACTTTTCTCTTCCTTTTCTGTACAGGTCCTAATGAAGATATTTAATGGATTGTGGGAGTGTATTTTGCACACTATAAAGCAGCACCCATTTTAAGAACTGGATAGTGGTCTTGATGGAAAAAAAATTATACCTTATGCCTATTTTTTTCTCAAAAAATAGTGGAAGTAGAAGAAGCTTGTGATAAACACAGAGTCCTCCTGATTAGGCACTCTCACTTCTTCAGTTCAGGTTTGAGGGGTTTTAATTTTTTTTTATTTGTTTCCTAGTGAAATTGCTCTAGAATGCAAAGGGCATTAAAACAATGTGTTCTTGGCTAGATTCTACAAGTAGGCCAGAAATGCAGTAAGTACCTTTCAGCTATACATAGAAATGATGTTGGACAACTGCAACTTTGACTACCAGACTAGCCCACATTGTGCTGCAGGTACCATCCATCTATGTGACTGACCACTTCCTGAATGAATGGAAGCACACTCCATGCCCTCGGGCTTTTGTTTTTCCAGCTGTAGAAAAAATAACTAAGATAATGAAGTTTTAACTCGCTTCAGGAGACAGTACAGTGAATTGATTCAAGTATGGCTCAGGATGTAAAATAAATGTTTATATAAATGTAAGTTATGCCATTTGACATAACTGGCAGTCCCTCCGCAGGGAGGCCAGGCATATGGCAGCCCCAAGCTAAGTCTGAGGGATGAGTGGAGAATTGTCATGTTCTTCTTTAGCTAACTTCAGCTAGGCTCAATTATAGTCCTCAGCTTCTTTTAGCAGTGTGCTGACATTATGTTTTTAAAGAAAAAGATAAAGCACTTTCAAAATATCTATTTTTTTTATTTAAAAACTTCATCTGGTACACAGGTTGGTAAACCTGGGAAACTAAATTAAGTTAAATATGTGGGAGATAAGACTCTGAAAACATTAGATCCTATTAAGAAAATATGAAGGTTAAATTTTGACAGCTTAGTTTATATTGTTTTTCTCATTGTGATACCATTTAATGAATGCCTTATTTTCTATAGTCTATTCACTCTGGGACTAGAATAGAAAAACAAAAGGGAGCATATTTTAGATAACTTGCATTTCTAAGCAACAATCATATAGGTGTGTGTGAAAATGCATAATAAAATACTGTATACTGTGCACAGACATGGAGGACACTAAACATGCTCTGTCTGAATGTTTACATATTGGAGGAATGTGCTGCAATAAACATTTACAGTTGCAGTAAGTATTGGTTGCGTCTGTATTAATTTTAAGAATAAATATGCTGCCAGGTTAATACAGGAGCTTTTTCATAGCAATGTGTAATTCCTGGCATGAAACAGAGTGCTGAGTATGCTGACTTGCAGAATTTGTAGTCAAGATAGCTGGTGTGGACCCTGATCAGGATCTGTTCCCAGTTAGATCTTGTCTAAACTTTTCAAAGGTTGTCATTGAATCAAATAAGCAAGTATCAAACTTTACACTAAAAATGCTATTCATATACTTAATGAAGTTCAAATTCAGTAAAAACAAACCAAATCAGGATATAGTCAAAGCAAACTATGAACCGTATCTAAGTTTCCTGTACTGAGATACTTGTCTTCCAGCAGTCACCTGAGATTATAGTCTTTTTAATCTTTTCAGACAGATTCAAGGCTACCTTGCCTTGAAAAGCAAATATTAAGTCACTATCTGCTCTGTTGACACTTTAAATTCCTTGAGGATCTTTGACAACACACAATAAATAATCACTATAGCATAAAACAGCTTGCGCAAGGAATTCTGACAAGGTTCGCAAGCTTTTGAGAATTACTGAAATGCAGAGGCTGACTTCTTTTTAGCAAGTCTTTTTCATATGAAGCTTGGAGAAAGTTAAGATTTTAGTAAAAATAGGAGGTTCTATTGAAAACAACCACTCATTCAAGGTTTTTACCCATAATAAATCTTTACTGATTTCTTCTCAGCGAGTAACTTGCTCAAAATGCAGGTGCGTTTTGTGAAAAGCTACCAAGTACTTTGTTTTCCAACACTTATATAAGGTAAGTATTATCCAGATTTAGAAGTGGGACAGAATCTATGCCTCATCACTGTTAATTTCTGAAATTGATGAGAAGTTTCAACAGTTTGTCAGAGCTGTGTGGGTAATGAGCTCTGCGTAAAAGCCAGTGGCTAGCCCCTAAGCAGGAAAAGATACTGTGTGTGGATTGTTTTAATTTCATTCTCCTGCATAGTGATTTCTTGTGCCTAAAAGGCAAACTCCACTGGGAAGTTTGTTCTGCAGTAAGATCCCAGTTAGACCCTTTAAAAAGCAACCCATGATTCTGACAAAGCTAAAAAGTCAATCGACTGAGACCTAAAAATTAATTGGAAAACCATGCTCTGTTAGTTCTGTTGTACTATGCAACTTTCAATTTAGCTCTGCAGGCAGCTGTGTGATTTGGGGGAGGAAAAGCTGATGAAAGGCAACTGCATTCGGACAAGGGGCAGGGTCACAACGTGAAGCCACAGGGGAAGGGTGAGCTTAGTTTTAGGAGATGGATGTGTAAAGCAAGGGATAGAGCGAGGTGGGAGAAGAGCAGGGACTAACCTGTTGTAGAGCAAGCAGGGTAGCTTGTTGTGGATGCTGCTATGTGGGGGACAAAGAAACCGACCCTAAAAAATTCATTTACACCTACCCAAAATACCCAGTTCTGAAAGTAACACCAAACATTATGCTATATATCTAGCTATTATATATACATAAAACTATTTCTTAAGAAATTCAGACCCACCAGCACTTATGGTTCTCCATGATAATAATGTTGGCAATCTTGCTATCCAGCTTGCTGACCTGGCTTGATCCTTGTGTTCAGGATCTTGACCCACGTTACTTGGCTCACGTGAGAAGCAGCTCATCTGTCCTGCAGTCTCCTGGCTGCGTTCGAGAAAAAGTGCAGCCCTAGCAGGAGATCTGCCTTTACATCTGTGTGGTGGCTGCTCCCGTGCAGTTTGTTACGGGGCTTTTTACCCTTGTTTTTTGTCAAAGCGTGGTGTGCTGGTTAAGGCTTCATAGAGTCAAAAGCCACAACGATGATCTTACTTTAAAAAAACAAGTCAACATTAGCAATGCTAATAACATGCATAAAGCTGCATCCTGCAGAAGGAGTATCTTTATGCTGATGCAATCAGGCAGGCACTGATAGACCTATAAAATGCAAGTGGGGAGAGCAATGAAGCAGATAAAGCATCAGATAAACTCACTACCCATCCAAACACCATCCCAAGGAATGCAGAGATTAATTCTGGCCAAAGAAGGTGTGCAGGGGTGACAGTGCCTGCGTTCTGACTGTCTGCATTACCTCCTTATGGACACAGTGTTGCAGGGTGCCAAACTTACTGAAGCTCATTTCAGCACCAATGCTCTGCACGTCCCCAGGGAGCGAGAACCCCAAGTTTGCAGCAAAGTTTACAGCTAGTGCTAGAATGAAGTTGAGCGAGGAGGAGGGAGAGGCAGGGGGCACATACTAGTTTCTGGGACATGGGATAGAAGCTTTATTTCAAGGAAAGGTGAACAGAGTGCAGGCAAATCAGTAAGAAAATGAAGCCAGATATGGTCACACCTTTCCAAAAAAGGGTGCATAGGCATAACACATGTGACAGATGGGGGAGGAAAAAAAAAAAAGCAGATGCTGCTGTGAAACCTCAGACCAAGGACGTGATCTGAATGAGGCATCTTCCTGTCTGCAGCAGTAGCAGAAACAAGGTGCTTCAGAGGAAGCCTCAAGAAAAAATTCATGCATAACTTGACTTAACGCTCTTGCAGCTAGTTTTCAGTAACTTCAAAGTGATGTTTGTCTGGACTTTTGTTCCTTCTCCCCTAGCGGGGTGACTGTGACTCCACACGGCATCTCCTGGGGCTGTTATGCAATGGCACACGCTATCCTGCCATTATGCAGCCCGTACGTCTTGGAAGCAGGTCAGGGAACTCCAGGTCCTTGTAACGAAGCTCCTCTTCCAAGTCTCTGTTCTGTTTAGAGCACCCAAGTCTGGAAATACCACATCATGCCACATTGCCAGAGGACTCTCAGCACCCCTCCAGCGGCTCTGCAGCTGCTGATCTGATCCAAGGCGCTTCCCGCCTCCCCTCCAGAGCCTCACGGACACGGCGCAGCCTGCCCCACTGCACGGGTGAGAGCCTTGGCGCCTCTGCCTTGAGGAGATAAGCACACTCGGTAGGAAGGAGGGAGCTGAATCTGCTCTCTCGACTTGTGAAGAGACTTTTTTCCCCCTACACACAGACTGCCTCCACACCTCATTAGGGTACTTGTAAAATACATGATTTTGGGAAAAGTTCTGGAGAAAAATCAGATGGTCAAATG